TTCAACCCACACAGTTATGTTCGCAACGAAATGTAACAAAACAAAACGTGAAATTTAAGCTTTATTGGCGATATACGCATGGCTTAAATGCTCTGTACCGATTGGCCACACGAAATGTTTTGTTTATTTGTTATGTTACATTTGATTTCAGCGGATGTTAGCACATTAAGTTATTCGTTATGATCTGATACTATAAATAAGTTAGTTTGTTACTAATTGTGTTTATAACTTAGGTATGTACATTGCATATATCGCATAGGATGTCGTTGTTTCTACAAACAAAATGTATTGAAATCGACAATAATAAATCAGTATTTATATTATTAATACTTTTACAACGATTTCTTGTTTTCGGAGTATATTTATCTGTTATTTTTTTTGTACTATAATATTTTTTCTTTCTTGTATTTTGCATTGGTATTATTTTTAGTCTTGTTTTAGGTATTGTATGTATATTGATAGGGCGAGGTAGTTATTTATGCCGTAGAGGGCGTTCATAATGTTCAACGAATTGTTTACAATGTAGAAGGAGCAATAAATCTATATACGAAACTAAAACAACCAGTGTTTTATTCTTATTATGTTCAATAAAAAAATAATGTCAACTGTAAGCTGTTTTAAATTTGACGCAGTCATTATTTATATGTATAAATAGTAAATCACGTGATCTTAAAACCTTTTTTTTTATTGGTTAACGAAACTACCGAATTCTCATTATGTCCAATAAAAATATTTATGTCAATTAAAAGCTGTTTGAATGATGCGATCATTATTTATACATATAATTAGTAAATTACGCGATCTTTTTTTATTGGTCCGAAATATTGGGATCTCAATAAAAAGTAAAACGTGCTAAGATCCCGTGATTTTTATTAATAATACATCAATTATCGTGGAAAAAGAAAAATATTTATTAACACAGAGAAGACCTCATATAATGACGCAATCAATCCCCCGTCCAATTCAACGGGGATCGAAATTACGACGGCCTGACCCTACACCCTAGTTCGAACCCCTAGCGGTGCCTCAGACGATAGTCGTATCCGTCAGGCGGGGATAGTCGTTCAGCCGCTCCATAAGTCCTTCCGCGGGTTTGGAATGCCATCAAAACTCACACTATATTGATTAGTGAAGCTATAAAAGTCAGCAGCGGCTAACAGCATTAGAATCGTTAGAAAACTATGAAATAGTAAACTGTAACTTGTGCAACTTGACTATCTTTATAAATCAAGTTAGTAGCAACTAGGGTTCATGATTTCTAGAGCTTTTCAATTTCTCGGGTCTCGAGAATTCTCGAGGTTAATTTCTCGGGTCTTCTCGGGTTGTCGAGGAATTTACATTTACGTACGTTTTCTCATATTATTTGGTTCCAATAACGTCAAAAATCTCAGTGGTTTCATTTGAGACGAAAATCACTGTATTTTTTGTTAAATATTAATTATAAAATTTAACTATAAAATTAATTATAAAACTTTTATTGAGTAGGTATATTTAAAAACATTATACATATGAAGAACCCATTTTTTTTAAATACTGAAATATATTAGGTTCTTAAATATGAAATTAGCGTTTTGTCGTACTGGCCACTTTGATCTTAAATATCTCCTCTTTGGTTAGAAATTTCAATGCAAATTTATACGGCTATTCACTCATGCATTTGTTTTTCGAAAACCGTAATACATATGCTTGGTTTTTTCTTTGGGTCACTCAGCTTACAAAATGGAAAACTTAAAATATCGCGTCAATATACATGAAAGAAAACCTTAATATCTTGTATTATTGTGCCGCCACGCAATACAACAAACGTCAATTTAATTTCTATATAGGTACGATTTCTCGAGTTCTCGACTTTTCTCGAGCTTGATTTCCCGGGAACAGAACCCAAGGATTTCCTGGGAATTCTCGGGTCGAGAATTCCCGGGAAATCCCGGGAATGAACCCTAGTAGCAACGCAAGAAATAAGTAAGATAAAGGTAACGCGGACGACTGTACTACGCATGACTACTTAGTTACGCGTAGTACAGTCTACTACTACTACTAATTAGTAACGCCAGCAACATTAATATGTTAGTTACTTAACTAATATGTTGCAGGCGTTTGTGGCCTAGCGGTTTAGCACATAGCCTTACTTCAAATGGTCGCGGATTCGATTCGGTACAAACATTTGTAGTCATGAATATGATGGTATAGGTCTGGATGATTTGTATGTATATTATGTATGTTTGTATGTATCTATTTGTTTTTACAAATGCAGAATAGTTAGTAGTCACAGCAGTACAGTGTTTAAGTAATAATTTAAAAATATTGAAAGTTATTAAACTGCCAAATAATGCAAATGTGTTACGCCCGATGGCGTCGCGAGATAAGCCCCCGATGAAGACGCTTGATTATGTTAATATAAAAGAAATCACTACATAGACTTCATATGAGTAGTAAATTCACACAGCGCCATCTAGACCCAAGTTAAGCTAGTTAAAGCTTGTGTTATGGCTACTAGATAACTGATACATATATACATAGATATTTTTTTTTGTAAATACATATATATACATACATATTATACATAGAAAACACCCAGACCGATACAAACAATCATACTTCATACTCATGAATACAAATTGTTTGTGCCGTGCGTGGAATCGAACCCGCGACCATCGGTAGTAAAGCGGTGTGCTAGACCGCTAGACCACCGAGGTCCTCAAATCTCTGTCAAGTCAAGTCCTCAAATTCTCAACATTTCGTGTTTATAATATTAGTAAGATACTGATCTTACTAACATTATAAACACAAAATGTTGTAAGTATGGATGGATGGATGTTACTCTTATACGTTATATAGGCTATAATTCTATCAGTTGTCTAGTACAATCGGTAGAATTACTTAAATAAATAACATACTTAAAGACATTTAGATCAATACAAGCAATCATACTTATGAATACAAATGTTTGTATTGTACGAGGATATGAACTCGCGACCATCGGAAGTAAGATGGTGGCTAAACCACTGAGGACGTCAAAAAGCTGCACATCTATGTGATATGAGCGGAGCAATTAAAATAGGTAGTAGACAACTGATCGAATTATCTAAAATAAACAGCCTACAAGTTTCTTGCTGACATAGCGTTCCGAAAGAGTACTAGATTAAAAAAATATGTATACCTACTCAAAAGTTAATATTAAGTTTCTTAAAAAATCACAACTAATACAAAAAAAACAAATAACATACCTACTTATAAAACCTACCTAACCTAACCTATACATAACAATCATACTTATGAATACAAATATTTGTATCCTACGAGGAATCGAACTCGCGAATAGCAAGGAGAGTGTTCTACCGCTAAACCACCGAGTCCATCAAAAAGGTCACACATCTACAACTATGAGCTGTACTGGTATTCTGTAAGCGCTTTGCTTCTCACTTCGCACAAGGCACTCGTATCCATTTGTCAAATATAAAGTTCCTACTGAGCTATCGAGTTTACCTATATTAAAAAAAAATCACTTGCCTATTTTACCTGCATCCCGCTTTCGAGCGTGTGGCACTGCAGTCCTTATCGAGTTTTACAGAATACCAATGTACAATCTACAGATAGAAAAAACAGGTAAGTAGGTCTACATAATCCAATTTCACATACCTAGCAGTTGTAATGTATCTATTTTATAGTCTACACATAAAAATGCTTGTTCACAAATTACCACAACTTTATTCAACAGCGAATGTGAAACTTCTTTCATTACGAGGTCTAAATAATATGCAACGTCATGCTTTCAATGGTAACTGCTGAGGTTGGTTGTATATTTGACGGATGTTGTATTGTACTCTGACCTGTTAAGGCGAAGTGCGCAGACGTGGAACCTTTTTTTAATGTATAGAATAGAATAGAATACAAAATCCTTGATAAAATAAAATTAAACTTAAATACTTTTGAACAGTAGTAGTAATGTTTTATTCAAATAAAATTAAGTCTTTTAAATAGTCATACTTATTTTTTTAATCTACCGCTCATTCACAAAACTGTCTCATCACAAGAAGAACGAGAACTTGCGTGCTGCTCTTTTAAATAATTGTTGTAACTTTACATTTAACTTGAATTGAAAAACAAACTACCAATTAGCACAAATATTATAGAGCCAAAATATAAAATGCTCAATATAATTAAATCAAGTTCTTAAAGGAGACCTGAAAAAGAGCAGAAAAAAGTAGCCTAACTTACTCCTTATAACATTAGTTATCTGCGAGTGAAAGTCTCGTCAAAATCGGTCCAGTCGTTTTAGAGACTGGAACAAATGAATAGATAGAGAGAGAGAAATATTTTTTGAAATTATTTATTTATAAGCTGTTAATTGATAATTACTAACAGACACTTTGATTTTATTTATTTGTATAGTCGAGGCGAAGATTTGTGTGTATGTATGAATGTTTGTTGCTTTTTCACGCATAAACTACTGTATGGATCTTGATGAAACTTTACAGTAATATAGCTTATACATCAGAATTACACATAAGCTATAATTTTTATGCGGGTGAAACCGCACAGCTAGTACATAATAATTATTATGTACTAGTACACACACAGCTAGTACATAATAATTATTATGTACTAGCTGTGCTAAAAAGTAGAATACTGTGGTTTACATACATATGCCATACTGGCTTTCCATAGCAACCTGCCGTTTAACAGATGCGTTCCACAAAACGTTGTACGATACGTATCCTGCATACGGACGCGATCTGCAAGTAATTAGAGAAAGCGTCGATACTAAATGTCTACTAAATGATAGAAGCAACAAAAAAAGTATAGGAATCAGCTACGTTTACCTTTTGTATCTACATACCTCAAAAACGATTCGAGTTTTGTTGCTTTAATTTTGTGGCCGAGATTATAATCCGAAAGGTGGCTCGCGCGCCATAGCACGCCAACGAGCGAGTCCAGTCTGAAGAGCGACGACCGCGCATGCGCTGCACCGTAAATAATGGCCACTTACGAAAATACGCGCGAAATAATTTACAAACATTATTCCCATATAATATTACTTGTTTGTTCCTTTTAAATAAAATTTATTATAAATTAGTATTAATTATCGTATAACCAAAGATTTAGTAAAATTTCAATTATGAAACGTATAAAATGTCTACGAATTATGTGAAATGTTTAGTGTTTATTTTGGTGATATTAATTTTATTTAATATGTGTGAATGTAAGAAGAAAGATGTGAAAACGAAGAAGAGAAAAGTGGACGGAAGTTATGTGCAGAAAGGTTCACTTGTACACGGGAGATCTATCAAAAACATCACTTCAAAAGAGCATGGTCGCGGATTTTTCGGCTCGGGTTAGTAACTTCCACAATTTTTTAAGAAATCAGACAAATCTGAGTATATAACCTATTTTAGATATTTTGTAGGTAATATTTTGGGAATTGCTTTATCATTCCACATTCCATCCTTAGGGTTAAGTTAATAAAAAAACAGGTAATCAGCTATGTTTTTATCTAGGGTTATCTTGTGTAATGTTTTTAGGTAAAACTTCGAACTCAATTAACAATTTCGTTGTTTTTGTTGAAATCGTGGAAGTTTTACACGATCTCGGTACAGTAATGACTTGCAACAATTTGTTCCATTTCTGAGGATCAAATAGTTTAATGAATAATAATTACAATATCCTAGGACAATTTACACAGCGCCATCTAGTCCCATTATAAACAGAACTTGTGTTATGGGTACTAGGCAACTTATATAAATACATGGATATATTTTTTTTGTAAATAAATACATATTATATATAGAAAACATTCAGACCGATACAAACAATCATACTCATGAATACAAATGTTTGTACCGTGTGACGAATCGAGTCCGTGAGTTAATAGTTTGAGAGTATAAGTGTTACATATATTTTAATCAAATCAAGTCAAATCAAAAATCATTATTTATGTAGCATATTTTAGTGGCTTATGAACGTCAAGATTTTGTATTAATATTTGTCCATACAGTCCAGTTCAGTGCAGTCCATTCATGAGACATTTGATAAGAACTGGCAAGAAACTTAACTTTATTTCTTTAAAGGAGTCTATGTCTAACGTTATATGAAAATCCGGTGCGTAAACAACTATTGCCACGTACATTTATCATTCAAGTAATCGTTTAGTGAGTAATAAATAGGCTTTACCCAATAACTAAATTAAATTATTTTATTAAATTCTTACTGTTGTAAAAATATAGATATGCAACTAAAAGTCAAGTGATGATTAGGGTCAAAAGAAGTTATAAATAAACATTTGCAAGTCTAAAGTAAAAGTAAAGTATCGAGAGCAATGAAAGTGCGAATTTTGTGAATTTGCATGTATATTCCGTAGCATTTTTCAAATTGGAAAGCAGACGAATTTGAATATTTTTCCAATATTTAAAAGGCACATTTTTCTAAACCAAAATATATTTCTTTTGCAAATAGAACAAAATAAAACTTATTATTCTAATACATGGGTTAGTTAGAAATCTATACATATAAATAAAATTGCAGTGTCTGTTTGTAATATTGAAATAACCGTTTTTTACTACATGCATATGAATATAAATACGGCACATACACCAAAATAACATTTTTTACAATTTTTGTCTGTCTGTCTGTTTGTTCCGGCTAGTCTCTGTAATGGCTGGACCGATTTTGACGGAACTTATTTGGCAGGTCGCTAATGTAACAAGGAGTAACTTAGCCTACTTTTATTTTAGAAAAACAAAGTTAAATTCGACGCAGACGAAGTCGCGGGAACAGCTAGTCTTTCTTAAAATACGAAAATCTCTATGTGTGAATGTTTGTTATCTTTGAAGACCAAAAGGTGAAATTATTCTTAATTTTAACTATACTGCGGACTTTTGATATACGACTGGTTTAGAAACAGCTTCTAAGCTGTGCTCTTGTTGGTGGAGCTCCCGCCACCTTTCACGATCTTCTATCAGTCTTTTTAGCTGTTGATACGACACGACTCCAACTTTTTCTTTAACTTGTCTAATGTAGCTGTGTCTTGGTCTTCCCCTACCTCTCTTTCCATCTATTTTCCTTCGGTATTATTAATTAGTTCATCATGTCACATCAAGTGCCCCAATATTTTTCCCCGCCTAATCATAAGAGTCTGTAATTACCTACAAACATGTATACAGATATTGTTGATTTGAACAATATGATCAACTAGAAATGTGTCTGCGATTGCATATAGCCCTTTACTTTATTTAAAAATAAAATTTCAAATTACAAAAATTGAACGTCAGGCACAGAACATCGATGTTATTTTATATACAATTTTGCACTACTCCTAGAACATTCCGTGACGTCATTATTAAAATCAACATACAATAAAATCTAAATATTCTTTTTATTTCAATTTAAAACAAATCAACCACTGCAATATTCCTCCAGCAAACAAAATGAAATCGCATCAATTCCAGTAAGTATTAAATTCTACATTCTTATCTACAGTATCAAATTGTTACTGTTAAAAGTTACTATGCTTTGATGTACGGTTGGATTAGAAAACATTAAAACTTTTACCGTTTATAAGTTGTTTTGTAGCCGCTTAATATCTATTACTATTTGCTATCTAAAATGCAGTAAACTAGTGAGTTACACCGGTGTGGTATGTTATGGTAGGTACACGTTGATAATGTAGCCAACCTACAAGTAAAATTATATAGTATCACACAACGTTATATAACTCTATATATATGTAGTCATCAAACAGGACATTACACTATATGTTATTAAAAATTATAATATGTAATTAAAAACCTTAAAAAATATAGTAAAATAATTACATTTGTCAAATGTTTTTTGAGTATGTCTATAACAAACAAATACAAGAAATTAAAACTTTCCTCTTTATAATATAAGAATAAACTAACTACCAACCCTGGCTTCACACGTGAGTAATTACTTACTCATACTGCAATTTTCAAATGTCAAACTGTTTATGACTTAATACTGTAACTACACTCTACAGATAATAAAGTAAACAAGCTACTCAACTGACATCACACGAATGAAAAGATTGTAGGGATCTCTATTAGTTAGTACCTTTCTATAGGTGTAGGTGATTTCATTTTAAATCGATTAAGTATTTTCATGATAAACAAACAGTCAAAATATTTCCTGTTTCTAATAGAAGTTTATTATAAAATCCCGCAAAGCTAGTAAGGCTAGTTCTTCATACATGTTTAATAAGGATATGACGACTCCACTTGATCCCCTCAGTGAGGTCAGCAACCAGTCTCTGTTGATTGGTAACCAGGGTTGCCAACCTTAAAACATTTAGGTGACTACTTCAAATGTTTTAGGCAGTATTACGCGAAATAGTTTCTGCATCATCACATATAGTAGAGAACAATTCACCAAAAATGTTAGCAAATATTTTAAAATAAAAAAAGCGAAAAAAATAATAAATAACGTTTTTTATATATTTTTATTCTTGTAAAATTTACTTTAAATTTTATATTTGATATATTTTTAATTTAATTCAGATATTTTTCACGTTTAAACTACTGTTAAACTAGGGACATCGCAGGTCTAACTTTAGACCATAGACCAATCACGGTTTAGAGATAAATTTCATTTTGTAATAAGGAATACTTTGGTCGATGGTTTATTACTAGTGCTCAACCAGATTTATCTTTTGGTAATAAGACAGTTAGCCTTATAAAAAAATCAAAGATCTGATAAAGTCTGGTATATTTCCCAAATTTGGCTTTCTAACCTTGTCGTACTACTGTACTGTACAGGCTAATCAGAAATGTATTTTTGTAATTTAAATTATTTAAATTTATAGTTTTTTAATAGGACATTCTTGTATATACTTCAGGTCTTATTCTATAGTTTTTCTTTTACCTATACACATAAAATTCATCCCCCGTCCAATTCAAACGGGGATTGATATTACGACGGCCTGAGCCGTGGTTCCTAGCGGTGCCCTCAGACTAAAGTCGTATCCGTCAGGCGGGAGTTGGCCTTCGGCCGCTCCATAAGTCCTTCCGCGGGTTTGGAGTGCCATCTGTACTCGAACCTTATCGTCCGGCGAAGCTGTAAAGGCCAGCAGCGGCCAACAGCATTAGAGTAGTCGTTACGTATGTTATTTTATTAACGTGTTCTGTATACGTATAATTAGTAAAAATCGCGGGATCTTACCACGTTTTATTTTTATCGAGTTTTCGATACATCGGCAGTGTTTCAACTGCCATGATCACGGCTAAACTGAAGAGCAGCGGGTAGGTGGTAAATAAAATCGTTTTTATGGGCAGACATATTCGTTTCACACGTTTTCGTCTGTTGCTAGTATTGAAGATCCCGAGATTTTTACTATTTATACGTATACAGAACACGAATGAAATAGAATAATGAATGCGTCAAATTTAAAACAGTGTATATGTTATGACCGTAATTTAGTACAAACTTGTTCTAATTTGAAAATGTTCTCGTAACGAAGGTCAAAAATCTCATACAGTTAGCATCCCTGCTGTGGTGCTACATACGTGGACTAATTAGATCTGTAAACGTTTTTCTACAGAACGGAGGTTGCTATAAAGTAAATAATTGATTTTTTATTCAGTACTTGCTGTGTCCTCGAATTTGTGACGATATCGGTGGTCTAGCGGTTTAGCACACCGCCTTACCTCCGCTGTTCGCGGGTTCGGTTCCTCGTACGGTAGAAATTGTGTATTTATGAGTATGATTGTCTATATTCATCTGTGTATTTAATATATATGTTGTGTATGCATTTCCAGAAAAATAAATTGAAGTATTTAGCTGTGCCCGCGACGTTGTATAAGCTCTTGTTTTGTTATTGTAAAGTTTGATTAAAATACATTTAGTAGTTTTTGCGTGAAAGAGTAACGAACATCCATCCATAATTACAACATTTCGAGTTTATAATATTAGTAAGATCAGTATTAGTTGCCTAGTACCCATAACACTAGCTCTTCTCAGCTTGGGACTAGATGGCGCTGTGTGAATTGTCCTGAGATATTATTATATAACAATTTTTGCGAAACTATATGTGTTACCTTTATATGAATAAACGACCGAACGTATCTTAATGAAATTTGACGTGAAGATAGACAATGTGATGAGAACTGACGTAGGATATGTTATTATTATGTGTATTTTAAAAAGGCAGGTTATATAAAAGCAGCAGATTAGCAGTCCAGGCCAAGGCTATAGCTAACGTTCTTGAATAAAATAATATTGCGACTTTAAATTGAGATGTAAGCTATCCTATCTTTCAAGTTTGATCAAATTGCACACAATGTGCAAATTAAATTTACAATCGGTTCAGCACTTTAGAAGTCC